TTTTACTTTAAGGAATTATCTTTTGTGAAATTCCAGTTTTAAATCTATACTTGTTTTTATTTTATTGAAAAGTGGGTCTTATAGTTGTGAAATGCATCTGTAAGTGTAAAGCAATTCAGCATAATATAAAATGAACTAAAAGGAAGAATTGAAAAATTGAGGTAATTCCAAGTAGTTATTATTTTAAAACTTTTTCTTCTGTTTCTTATTCACAGGAGAGAAAAAAAGTTACTAAAAGTATTTTAAAATATTTTATTTGCAGTTAAATGATTAGTAATAAGTAAAACTTTTGCGAACTTTGGACTCCTTATTCTTTTCTGAATGTCTTATTTTTCATTCTTATTTGCCATTTGTGAAAACAAGTGCAATTAAGAAACGTCCCTTTTTCTGAATGTCTTATTTTTCATTCTTATTTGCCATTTGTGAAAACAAGTGCAATTAAGAAATGTCTCTAGAGTTAGCGTTGTGAATTACACGAAGGCCTGTGAAGTAAATCTTAGGAAATGAGACTGCGCCATCTCCTGTCCACTATCCTAATTGCAACTCAGTTCTAAAGAGTACGAATTGTTTGTTTCCTAATAGTTTAAGCTAACCATTTTTTGAAATAATCATTTTGGATCATGCTACATTAAAATTTTTGTATTGTAAAGTGCACATATACTGTGGATAAGGTTTTTAATTTTTAAGTGTGCTCATGCCTGAATCTGGAAAAAGTATCCCTTTCCATATGTTTAGGACAAGAATATGGCAACCATTCTTAAAAGTAAAAATTTTATTCAGAAAACTAAAATAGCTGCTCAAATAAGTGTTGACTGACTCTAGATAGGTGATGTTTAATGCATGGAAGAGACGTGAGACATATAAGATTTCCAAAGGGGAAAAATTGCCATTAAATTTTAGAGGTATTCTTGAGATTTTAGAAATACTGTTTGTTTTCTATCTGCAACATTTGAAAGCTATTTATTTCAGTCAGTGGAAAGTACCTGGGGAAACTGCTTACAAAACAACTTTGTGAAATTTTCTTTATATGTCGTGATTTTTTTAGAAAGAACAGTAGCTTCATTGTTGTTAGGAATAAATGGAAACCCAGGTGTGGTAAAAGTTAATTGATTAATCAGATGGTATAAACAATTTGAGCAGCATGATTCACTAAACATTTCTTTAATTATATGTATGCGTATGTGTATATGTGTATGTGTTATGTATAGACATATACTAAAGCCCTATCAATTCTATTATCATGAAGGCTTTTCCATGAAACCCATGAGAATATATTTCTAAAACACATTTAAAAAAAATAAAGCATATTTTGCTAGAAATTATCATACTAATTTACTGCAGAGTATCTGATGCTGATTTAGGATGTAAATATGTTTAATAGATTATGCATTAATTTTAATGGTGTGAATGTGAGAAAGCAGATCCTGTAAAATTTTAATGTATTCAATGTTCATTTATTATAAAAAATGTCTTAATTCTAAGCTTAAATCATAGTACAATATATGGCAAGTAGTTGACATTCAATTAATATATACAGAGTAAAGAAATCATTTTGGATAAAAGTTCTCTTTGAGACTCTGATAAAGCCAAAAACTCTACAAAATGGCCTAGAAGCTCACAGTTCTGTACATGATCTCATGGGGTTCTTGCATCTCCTTAATGCTGTTCAGGTTAGAATCCTTGTTGATTTTTATGTTGTTTCTATAGCATTAATTCACTTATTAAATACTTTTTTTAAAAAAAGTCCTATATCCTATAGAGGAAACCAAATGTAAAATATTGTGTTCTTTTGAACTGGAAAGAACATTCATTTTAGGCAGTATTCAATTTTTTAAAAATAATCTTATAATCTTAAAACAAGTTAATTTACATAGTGCTTTATATATTCCACATCTTTTATAATAATTCTAAGACTTAACTAGTCTTAAAAAATAGGTCATTTGTCCAACCATTAAATGGTATGTGAGGAAACTGAACCTCAACAGTAATATTATCCATTCCCAAGGTTAATAGTATGAGTCATCAGGAGTGGAGTTACTTACTTCAGCAATTTCAGACTATAAGGTTCAAGGAAGGATTCATGTCTGTTTTGTCCACTCACAGCCTTTACAGTGTCTAATACATTATAGTGCTCAAATAATAGTTTTCAACAGACTGAATTAAATAAAAGATGAAATCACCTACTTTGCACCATGCACTACGCTGGACACAAGAGATAAAGATTAAGATACAAGACCTGTTTTCAACAGACTGAATTAAATAAAAGATGAAATCACCTACTTTGCACCATGCACTACGCTAGACACAAGAGATAAAGATTAAGATACAAGACCTTGCCTCAAGTTGCTCATGGTCTATATTGCCTACAAAAACAACCAACCAACCAATGTTGTTACTATTTGATAATGTTAGTGAGTTCCTTGTAATCTTGACATTTATGTCCATCAATGCTGCTTGAGGCCTGAACTCCTAAGACACTAATTAAGGATGGGAAGGAAGGGGGATATATTTTAAGAGCAAGAATATGACAAAAATGAATTGGGTTTATTTTGCATGGTTTAGAGGGCATAGAATGTAAAAATTTCATGCAGAGAAAACTCAAAATAACATAAGGAATGACTTTTTCTCAGTTAAGAATTGTCCAAGACTGAAATGGCTGCCTTGTAAGACAATTCGTCCCATATTCATTGAGTATACCATGTAGATAACACCAATCAGACACCCGATTGATGGGATTTTTTATTACTGCTCCAGTATTGGGACTGAATCATTAATAAGCTAATCAAAAGCATGATAAGTATTTGTTAAGGGAATGAATGAATTTCAATTCTAGGACCGTGACAATAGAAACAGCCAACCATTATTTGTCAGTAGAAGAGTGCAGTTTTTCTCATCAGAACTTTTCCTATATAGCTTTTTGAGAGCAGGTAATGAAAGGAAGACACAGAACACTGAGCCTGATTTACAAGGGATTCAGATCGAGGTTAGTGTGAGGTATACGGGCATGAGAAAAAGCAGGAGGGCTAAAAGAAGACATGGACAACACTGAACATGCACTTTAATTAAACTTCTATAGAGTACACACCAATGTCCTCCTAGAAGGAACACTTGCTTTGGAGTTGAGGAGACCTAGGATGGACTTATCAGCTGTACCACTGTGCGGGTTACTTTACTCTCTGGGCATTTGTTTCTTCTCAGTAAAACAAGGAATAATATCTAACTTGCAAGATTCAGGGAAATAAAAGACAGCTTAGGTAAACTGCAGAAGACAGCAATATTTATATACTTGATGCTGAGTAAATAACTCTCACCGTTACTACTTTGTATTAAGAAATTATCTTTGCTCCCTGGTGGCCATCTCTCCACAAGGAGTACTGTAATTGCATTTAATCCACTTAGTGGAAGTGGAACCCAAAGGGCAGCCATCACCAGAGGCACATATAGGTTTAGTTCCAGAGGTATAGAGGCACACAGTTCTGTACATGATCTCATGGGGTTCTTGCATCTGTTTGATTGTTCTTTCATAGGTGAGCCACACTTTCTTAACATATTATTGTATATGTTATTTGGATTCTTTAAAGGGGTATGTGAAGAAAATGAACAGCAAAACCACAGTTTTGTGTTCATGCTACATTTGTCTTTCAGGAAAACAGAATCTTTATAAGTATGTGTGGAAATAAGGGGGTTATAGAAATTTGACCTAACACAAACCAAAAAGGAGCTGGGAAGTGAAAGTCTGGAAGATGCAAACTGGCAGATCAGAGAATCACTAATTAATCTACTTAAAGCACTGGTGTGGGTGGACAATGGTAAGCTGTGAAGAAAATCTGTGGATTCCAGCTATCCAGTTATTCAGGTGGTTCCCAGGTAGGGGCTATGAATGGGGTCTGTAGGAAGCTCCTTTGCAGCACAGGTGCAAGCTCTGTGGGATTGCAAGTAAGCACCGGGTGGGGGGCCTGCGCCACCATGGGTCAGCGAGGTCAGCGGGCAGGAAGAAAGCTGGATGTGGAATGAAGTGAGACCAGCTTGGAAATCAGTGGCTATCCGACTTCGATGACTCTGTTTCACTCCTACCTTACATATCTCACCATAATTCCTTTTGGGGACAACTCTCACTCTGAACAAAACAGGAAAGGGGGTTCTGGGAAATGTAGTTCTCAGTCTTAGCCAAACTGACTCAGCACAGTATAGTACAGCGTACTCCTTGTCAATGTGGCTTCCATACTCACGGATATTAAACACATTTACTTCCAAACGAGGGCAAAAACAAAGGCAATCTTTCACCTAAAATTGACAAAAC